TTCGACCAGTAGGTTAGCTTGCTGGTGGGGTCCAGCCGATCGGGACTGGACTAGACGGTCCAGACATGCCCTAGAGCCCTCCTGTAGTCCCTCCCGGCTGGCCAACCTCCTGCGGTCCCTCCCCACCTGGCCAGTCTCTATCAGCCCAATCTGGACTGTGTGAGATGGACCGGACACGCTCTGGAGCCCTCCCACGGTTCCAATCATGCACCAGTCGGATCCCTCGGCCTGGCCTGCGCCCTCTCGCAATCCAGGACCCTTCGGGGGATGTCGGAGAGTCAGTTACGGCCTGATCCCCGCAAGCCAGGCCAAGGGATCCCACCTGGGCACGAACCCATGCACCTGGCCTCTAGTTTCTTATACTAGATTCCTTGACAAAGAGCAAAGAATCTAGTATGACAAGCAGAGTGAGTGAAGAGGAGAATAGTAAATGATGTCAGAGGAGTAATAAGGAAAGGGAATGCAAATCATGTAGGACCTTGTAATTTTAAGAACTTTGACTTTTCTGAGTGAAGAGGAAAATAACTGGAATAGTTTGAATGGAAGAATGGTATGATTTGACTTGTATATTAACATAACACTAGAAGAAAAGAAAAATGAAAGCATGAAAACCCGTTAGAAGGCTATTATAATGAGCCAGGCAAGAGTTGGGTGTTTGGATGTAGGAAAACTAAGATGTAGAAAAACTGGAGCAGTGTTCTGCATTAGGAATTGATGGTTTGGTTCTTAGAAATGTCATTAGAAAATAGAGAAAAAATAATTCAGCCTAGCTATATTGTTCAAGTAGCAATGGAGTCTAACTCTACATGCATAAACAATCTGGAGTTTAAACTTAAGTGTCTTTTTATTTAGTCATTACTTATTTCTCTGTAAGGAATTTTTATACATTATCGTTGCTTTTAATAAGCTGTTTTTAATTCAGTAACCCAAAGGTCTAAATGTGATCTTAATTGTTGTTATGGCTATGTGATAAGGTCATAATTTGCTTAAATAAAAATTTATTAAATACATGACCATAATTTAATCTTTGTTTATGAATTCTCAACAATATAACCTTGAATCGCTCATTTGTAGTTTGGTAAATATTTATTAGAACTTATTACAGAGTAAGTAGAATCTCTTGTATATTTTTAAAAATATGTTTTTGTTGATTTCAGAGAGGAAGAAAGAGGGAGAGATAGAAGCATCAGTGATGAGAGAGAATCACTGATTGGCTGCTTCCTGCACACACCCCCCCCCCCCCCTACTGGGGGTTGTGCAGAAACCAGGAATCGAGCCCTGACCACCTGGTTCATAGGTTGATGCTCAACCACTGTGCTACACCAGCCAGGCATATCTTTTGTATTTTTACATGCATTCTGTTTAGACTGACCCTCTCATTTTTCTATGACATTTTAATAGAATCTGCAATAAGGCAAAACACAGTACTAGATACTGAGTAGGTTACGGTTACCAAGGTAATCTTATTTAGTCTTCATCCTTAAAAGAATTTAGTTTCCAACTACTATAGGAGAATACATTTTTAAAAGGAAAGGAAACAAAGATTAACTAGACATAATATCTAATCTTAAGGAGCTCAAATTTTGGAGATGAGTATGTACACAAATATTACAGCACAATTTCTAAGTAGAGAATATCTATAATGATAAACGGATAATGTGCTAGTTAGACCGGACATCCTTCCTGACAAAGCCAGGACCGGAGGGAAGCCAGCCCAGGTCCCGGGTGCCTGCTGGCGGCCAGAGAAGGAACGCCCGGGTGCCGGAGGGAAGCCAGTGCCGGCAGCCAGGGGATGGAAGGCCTGCTCTTGCATGAATTTCATGCATCAGGCCTCTAGTAGTAGTATAGATGCACAAATTAGGTAAAGCAGAGGAAAGATCACTTTAAACCAGAATTTGATGGTGGGGTAGAGGCATTGAATGGTAGTATCAGCAGAGATGAGCAAAGGCACACAGCAGATGTTTAAGGCACATTTTCAACGCTGTCCCTTCAGATTTTATCAGCAGATACCTAATGCCACTATTATGTAATCAATAAAATCTTTTCTGGCTTCTCAAATTTAAATGATATGCCCTGTTTACAGCCTGAAAATGCAAAGTTTTTCAAGGGTAAGCAAAAGTAACAGTACAGTAAAAGAGTAAACATTAACTGCTAGAGAGAAGAGAGGGAAAGATGGGTAAGAAATATCTATAGTAATAAAAGGGTAATATGCTAATTAGACTGGACATCTTCCGGACATCCTTCCAGACAAAGCCACCCTGGCAGGGGCCAAGGCAGAGGCAGTTAGGGGCTATCAGGCCAGCAGGGGGAGCAGTTAGGGGGTGATCAGGCTGGCAGGGGTGGGCAGTTAGGGGCGATCAGGCCTGCAGGCAGGTGAGCGGTTAGGAGCCAGCAGTCCCGGATTGCAAGAGGGATGTCCAACTGCCAGTTTAGGCCCAAACTGGCAGTCAGACATCCCCTGAGGGGTCCTGGATTGGGGAGGGTGCAGGCCGGGCTGAGGAGACCGCCACCACCACCCCTGCATAAATTTCATGCACCGGGCCTCTAGTCTATATATATATATCTATCTAATATGCAAATAAACCAAACAGCAGAACAACTGGTTGCTATGATGTGCACTGACCACCAGGAGATGTGCACGAAACTTGGTGGGTGTCAGCTGCTGTGGGATGGTGGAACAGGTGAGCAAGGGCGCCAGACCAAAGCGGGGCACCGGTCGCTGTCATCGAGGCGAGCTTCTGATGGTTACTGAAAAGCCCGGCCCTCACACATGCTGCCATCGTCAGCCCCGCTCGCACCCACTGCCAGCGCCGGTGCCCGATCACTCTTCGACATTAGCAGGTGGAAGCAGTGACTGCCGGCCCCGATCGCCACTCAGGGCTTCTCCACCTCCCCCTGCTCCTAAGGGGCAATGGGGACAGCAGCCCCTGCTCGCACCCGCTGACGGTGCTGGCCCTGCTTGCACCAGCTTTTGGTGCTGGCCCCAATCGTTCTGCACCATCAGTGGGTGCAAACGGGGCTGGTGCCATCAGTGCATGGGAGTGGCTGCAACGGGAACAGCGGCAGTGGGAGCAAGACTGCTGGCAGATAGGAGACCGAGGCCTCAGCAGGAGGGACCAATACCCGTCCCCGTGCTCACTGCAGCCTTGCGACCCACAGTGCCTTTCAAGGTACACAAATTCGTGCACTGGACCCCGTGTGTGTGAGTGTGTGTGTGTGTGTATGAAATTTTAAATATGGGTAGCAAAGTGAGTTTCTGGGCTTGGGGGTCTTATGAGGAAGCTATGGTTCTTTCTTGGGTCTCTGTCTCTAAAACTCATGCTCTTCCAATGCTCTTAGGGAGGCTGAAGTAACAAAAGTGAATGATCTTGGTGCCCAGTTTCACAATAGCAAGGTTCATGGAGACATGAAAGTGTGTCACTGAACTTTCTAAAGATCATTGTTGAGTCTTGTTTATATTCTCTCTATTATTGTTTATATTGCTGTGTGTAGAAAACATCTATAATTATTTAAAATTATTTAATTATAAGTTACTAGAGGCCCGGTGCACAAGAATTTGTGCACTCGGGGGGGAAGAGCGGGGGTTCCTCAGCCCAGCCTGTGCCCTCTCGCAGTCTGGGACCCCTCGGGAGATAATGACCTGCTGGCTTAGGCCTGCTTCTGGGTGGCAGAGGGCACGCCCAATCCCTAGGTGCAGCCCCTGGTCGGGCTCAGAGCAGGGCCGATTGGGGAGTTGGGGCGCCGCCCCCTGTCATGCACAGAGCAGGGCGGATCGGGAGGTTGCGATGCCACCCTCAGTCACGCTCAGGGTAGGGC